CTTAAGTTCTAACAGTACGATATATACCTATGGCTTTACCAAAGATTATTTAAGCCTGCAACTTCAATTAAATATATTGAAAATTATGGTTATTACATTTATGACCAATATTTAGAGGGTCTAGCTTGCATCAAAACTGCATCAGATAATGCCATTGTACAAGCAGCCATGATTATTTAGTTTCCAGTAATGTACCCCCCCCTTTCCACTGTAAAAACAATAGGTTTTAACCGATTCTATTTCCCACTGCAGTCAAGTCTTTATTAAGTTTGGGACTGACAGTCTGACAAATAGACTGGCACTTTAAAGTGTAAGTCATTTCAGCAAGGATATGACAAGGTATTACCAATCCACACACCGAGAAATCAATTTCCATCAGTGCTCATTAACATCATGCTTAGAAATCGCATTCAAATTTGATCAATTAGAGAAATACTGTAGTATGGCTATGAGGTGTATCTGCCGTTAGCTACACATCTGCAGAAATGCAGAAAGAACACGAAATCACTGAGAGCAAGGAGTCAGGTAAGTGTTTTCTTTGAAGCATGTTTACCTTTCTGATTCAGCACCACTTGTGAAGATGACTATATAATTGGGGGAAAATTTATAATAACACACCTCTAGATATTTTCTTTTTTTCTTTTTCTTTCTTTCTTTTTTTTTCTTTTTTTTTTTGTATTCATTTATTGATAAAAATAAAATGAAAAGGAAAATGAAGCAGGTTTCCATGTTAATTGTATTTTCAATATTTGGAGAGTTAATTAATTTTTCGATTGATTACTGATAAATGATATGAATTTACATTCGTTTTTGGTTAATTGACTTTAAATTTGTTGATGCCTCAAGATCCAATTAACACAGTAAATAATACTTCAAAATGAAACAACTTATATTTATGATTCTTATTTTGTTTTTGGATATTAAATCAAACGTAATGAAATGATTTATATGTATAAAAACTATTTACAGTTCTGGACACATACCAAAAACAAAAACGAATCATACATGTACTGGGAAAATTTTCTGTACTATTTATTGATCCAACATGCACTAAGAATAAAAATACATATTTATTATATACCTAATGTGTATCACTCAATTTTACTGTTGAATTTACGCTATCACGTGACGTCGTGATCCGATTTTCCGGATCACCAACATGTTGTTTTCTGAATCCATATCACCACTCTCTGAAACTGATGACGTAGTACGCAGAAAAATGACGTTATTTTTCTTGTGCGTTAAAAAGTCCCTTGTTATTACGCTCTGTTTAATGGATAAATATTAAAGAATTCGTCTCTAAAGTTTTATTTTGCCAAATTTAGCTAGTTATAAATGGGTATATAATAAATTTATCATCATAACAGTAACTTGATCCGAAGAGCCGTATCACGTCTCGTTGACAGGCGCGGATCATCAGATCAAACTCGACGCTTCGCGTCTCGTTTGATCTGACGATCCGCGCCTGTCAACTCGAAGTGATACGACCCTTCGGATCAAGTTACTGTTATAATAATATATATAGATCTACCCCAATCTATAGAAGGTATTCTTAACTCCGAGATACACAATTCCACTATTCCCTGATCAAAGATTCTTTTTTCTCACCACATCAGTTTTTTTTTTTATTGATTTGTTAGTATCTTGGTTTTCTCATCACCTTTGTTTACTGGTAATACAAACAACCTTGCTGAAATAACAGCAGAGAAAAATTCTGAATGCAGGCATATATCTTATTGATGAGAAGGTACATTATTTTCAAAAAAAATATTGAGAATATGAGATGTCTGAATCTTCATTAGTTTAGCAAGAAAAAAGGTATTTTCCATGCTCTATTCCTTAAATAATTAAAGTGTTTCTGAATGTTGAAAAAAAAAACCAAAACCCTATTTCTAGCTGTCATAAATCTACTGAAATGTACACATGGTTATATTTATGGTAATTATGAGAAAGACTTTTACAACAAAATATTCAGTTCAGTTATTGGGATATGCCTTATACTTGCAGAGGCATTTTCATAAGGAAAAATGCAAATAAAATTTTTGAAAGGGATGGGGGATATTCCCTGAGCAGGTAATGATTTCTCTGGAGACTAGAGGTGTTCACAGTGTCTATATGCATCACTTAGGGGTTGATTTAACTATTAAAGAACTATTAGAACTATAAGATGAGTAAATTTTATGTTTGCCAAGGTTTATTGGAAAAGAACTAATAAGTAAAGATGGTAATAAATTTGTTGTAAAAGAATTATTTGTAGTAAATTGAGCTTACAGTATTGACCTTGACCTTAGTGGAATAACCTTGAACAACTACTGAACTTGAAGGTACTGTGAGCACTAAATGATACACCCCCCCCCCCCCCCACCTTCCATATGGTCCATATGTTTTTCTCCGAGAGACTTGAAATAAGTGTCACATCAAACAATAAAATAAGAGGTGCACTATGTAACAAAGACTCTGTGAAAGTCACATTAAATTTCATTCATTGGTATAAGAGGAGTTGCGGAATAAGAGATGAGTACCCCAAAGCGTAACAAAAAGACAGATGGACGTATAGACACACAGACAGACACCCGATCACTAAATACCCTCCAACTTTTCTAGCATGGGGGTATAAAAACATTCACTGCATTTGCTCTTCATTTACAAAGGTCTTAAGTCAGATTTTATGTATACTACTTAGCTGCATGTGATTAAATTTTATAAATCTAGATCAAGGAATTGAACCTCATACATGTTAATATTAATGGTAAGGAGTCCCACATAGGTTTAGCCCTCAATTAAGAATCCACAAACACCCTCATAAAATGTACTTGAAATGTTTTGAAATAGCAATTATCTGAAAAATTACATCATAAAATACGTAAAACAAGACATCAATGTATGAATTTTAACTTTATTCAGACCTGCAATTGCTTATTTAACTGAGAAAAATAAAAAAATCACACAAAATTACTGTAATTTGAGTCTTACAAGATTCTATGCATTCTTTAATTAATCTATACAAAGATCAAGTGCAGAGCTGAATGAGTACTTGCGTCAACAAATTCTTATTTTTTTTTCTTTAACAATAGAACTGATGCCCTGTATTTTGTGATTTCAATTATCATGCTCTCAGAGATCACAATTAGCAGAACAGAGGAGTTCAGCACTTATGCTTATATATATAAAGAAGCCAATTCCTACAGCAAGATGCCAACACCATTCCCAATGAAGAAGGCCGGATTTCTTGGAGAAATTTGAACCAACACAGCCATTTATATACAAATCTAAAAATTTGCTTTGAACTAAAATTCAGGTCTATTGTACAGTAGCACTTTAAAATCCGTTTAAATCCTGATAACAAATGTATGTTTACAACTTAGGTTAAATAAATATATATTAAAACTTCACAATTCTGGAAAGAAAGCTTCACAATATTTATTCTGTTTCTCCTGACTAGCTGGAACACATTTTTGAAAACTTGGTCAAATAATATTCTCCTTAGGAAAGTCATTGAAATATGAACAATCAGCTTTATATAGAATTCTGTCTTGAAGCCTTTAAATAAATAATCCTGTCACTGCCGATTCTTAAACGACAATGCCAGAAAAAAATCCACAGTCGAGGTAAATAGTCAGTCTGTGATATAGGTCCCTGTGGGAGAGCTAGAGTACTGACTGATTTCTATGTCTTGGACTGAAAGTCTCAAAGACTTGGATATCAGATAATTTATTTTTTGTATGAATAAGTGGTACGGATATGACTTTTTATTGACCCCAAGTGTGTATTGGAATACTGGGCTTAATTAAATGATATATACAGGTATGTACATAGACTCTGAAGGCTTGTGTAACAAAAATACAGATAAAGATATCTATCATTGTAATTTTTTTTAACATTTAAAAAAAATCAAATATACAGGATAAATAATTTGTCCATTTTAGTAACTTGCATCACTATAGAGTACAACATATTAGAGTTGTCTTTCCTTGTCCTATAAGAGAACAGTGACCTAGAGTGAATGATTGTATACTTGACAATTAATGTACTTGATTGATTGATGATTGTTTTCAGTAGATGCAATACATTTTGTACTGCATTAGGTCAATTAATTGATTCAGAATTACTTTTACATTTGAATAACTCCTGCAATGCATCAAGGATGAAGGTTATAGAGATTCAATGGAACTAGCTGATCACTTGTTGTACATCAAGCCGGGAGCAAAGTGCTTCATAAATTTATCATGCTTATATGCACATTTTTTTTTTACAACTGATTTGCAACTGCTTCCCCAACCTATAGACTTTGAGCATTTCATATCTATTAAAAATCTTAATTCAATATGAACATGTACCGCAAACAAACACATTTTAATTTACAGATGATATCAATATAAACTGCAGAAGAATGTACCCATATAATATGTTAAAGTTTAAATGTTTGTGGTACTATCAATTATTACAATTTAAGCAGATATAGGGGAACATATAATACGTAAAGTAAAACACATTTAGTTTTAAAACATTTACATTAAACAGATTCTTATACTCTGTTCCCATGAAATCAAAATAATCATAAAAGATGAATAAAATGAATAAAGATTTGATTATTACTTTATCTCTTGCAGTTGCATGAACTATGTTTTTTTAAATTGTTTATGCTCCTAGCTTGATGTAATCGAGGTTACAACTGGTTGAATCTATTATTTTTTTAAAAGAACCTGAAAATGTTTTTTTTTAAATAATTAGATTCTTAAAAGGAGTTGATCACTTAGTTGTATAAAAGAACTGTAATTGGTGAAAATATATAGAGTTCCATCCTTTATTTGCCAATTAAAAGTCATTATTTTGACAAAAATGTTTATTATAATACTTCTTCAATGAATAAACTTAGAATTAGTGAGGGTGAAGGGGAATTGAATCAAATGTATCCATTCAATAATTAATACTGCGATGTTTGACCCTTATCAATAATTGATCTTTATTGCATGAGTAATTCTTTTCTTTGTGTTTTCTAGGTACATGGAAATACATCAGTGAAATTTCAAGCTATTTTCAAAACAGAATTTCTGAGTGAAGAATTTTTTTCAAACCCTGGATAAAACCCATTTTCTCAGTGAATGTTTCCGACAATGGCCTTGACCAGTAGAAAATTAACTGACACACAAACTTCCATCTACAGGCATCAGTGACCAGGATTTGTAGTTAAATCAATACTTTATTACTGAATTTCTAGTGGATTTATTGAATTTCAGGCTTGCAATACATTCAGATTTTTTTTCAACACGTCTAAAATGGAAGGAACTGCCACCACTGAAGTGCAACCCTGAGAGAGGAGAGTTTTAATTTCAATTTTCAAAAAGTCAACCGAGCAGCCAGGCAACAAAATTTCACACCTGACATACTCTTCTGATTCTTAGCCCTTTCAGTCTTTGAAAATTTCATCATGAAGCAGCATGACAGGTATTGATTGCGTTCAAGAGAAAAAAGAAGGAAAACTAATTAAGTAATGTAAATCTGAACACCGTGAATCAAGAAAGAGTAAGTAATATATAAAAAATACGATTGCAGTTCATGATGTAGATTGAAATTATAACCCAACATCACAGAAATCTTATAGGAGTTCGGTGAAACTGTGGAAGGGTGAAGCTTGTACCAACTGTTTGGAAAAGAATGAAGACATCCATATTACTATGTTTATATAAATGCAGAGAAATATTATAGATCTCTGTGTCGGAATTCACTGTGAATGATAAAACCTCATAAACATTTATTAGAAAAACTTGAAAGGAAGGAAGGTATCCTACTGAAGGATGATTGGAAAATAATAGCAATCGTGGTTCCATTGTGTGGGGATCTGGTATATTTTGAAGTGCATATAACCTCCGAATGCTTGAGAAGGAATATTGTAACAACTTCTGTGGTGGGTTTATGTATAAAGTGGCTCTGCTGCACACACATCTTTATAGTATATAGTGAAGGAAATTTGTAAACTGCAGGGATAAAAAGTGGATTATTCTCTCACTACAAGTGCATTAAGGAATATTAATTCACAGGTGTCGGTCTTAATAGTGCTTCGCTGCTGGATCAAAGTGTTTTGTTTCTGATTTCATTCATGGAGGCATTATGAAAAAGAAATTATACACTCCCACAAATCAGTGAGTCACTGATATATTTTCTCTTTGATAATTAATAAAGTTCTTTTTTTCAACAGAAGTGTCAATACAATGTAATAAAATTACATGTAAGAACACCAGTAACATTAGGAAGAGACTGCGGATTGGGTTTTAGTGATTGTGCACTCTGGCAATGCCAATAATCGACACCAGGGTCCTCTTTGTAGTGGCTTTTACCACTTTATTACAATTCAAGTGTGCTTCCCAACAAATAGCTCCAAATGTCTCCAGCTACCCAGAGACCAGCAACACTACCACCAGCAACACAAGCAACAGCAATGCTATCACCAGCAACATGACCTTGCTGTCCTCACTGACTGACTTCATTCCCTCACTGCAGTCTAATCATACCATGTATAACATATCCAATCCTGATTCTGTTACATTCCGACCTCACTCCCCTTTATGGCAAAATGAAACATTCCATTTTTTCTTTAACCCTCTTTCAATCAATGACTTAGTGGTGGCGTCTAATCGAACCGTCAATTTCAACTGCACTTCCAATAATATTCTCCAATATGTCAACAACGGCACGGGAAGCCAGTCAGGGAATTTCTCTGAGACTAAAGATAGCTCAGACTTTTCCAATATCAATCTTATAGTAGTAATCCAGACCCATGACAGTGAAGTAGTCGGCTTAGTTCTAACTAAAGACAGTTATAATGGAGAGAAGGAGAAAAGTGAGAAAATGGCCACAGAGCTTCCGGCTACCTCGTCGCTCATTTATAAATCCATCCAGTTAAACTCTGAACATAATTTTACCGTTTTGGCAATGCATATGGGCTATGCCACGATGTCCGTAACATTGACAGACACAAACGACTTCGAGAAGGTCAAGCAAGGAGCTTACCAAACGTTAGCACATGCGGAATATGACATTCAGACAACAAGAGCGGGAAGACCCTCGGACTTTGCTTTTAATTGTTCTGCAGCAGCTATTGCAATATTAATCAGTTTTGGAATTGGATGTGTGACAGATACGGAAAGCTTAAAAAAGCAATTGAAGTACCCAGTGTCCTTGGTGGTGGGGTTCTGTTGCCAGTTTCTGATTTTGCCTGTGGTGAGTATACTGAGTATTTATACACTGTGTGGTGGTGGTTGATGCCTGGTGTTTGATAAATGTATGTTCCCAGTTTTAATTACACAAAATCACAGTCCCTGGATTCTTTCTAATTGGGGAGTTGGTGTGGTTCAATCAAATTACTTAAAGTAACCTGGTGGGTTTAGTCTCATGAGAGATAGGCCAGGCAATATTGTAATTGGACTGAAACCTTATTAGTATAATAGAATAGACCAGTATGTATTGAAGGGAAAAGTTTTATTATTTTTAAAAAAATAGGAAATGACAGACATATACTAGTCTAAATCATGTTTAGCATTCCCTCTAACTTAATTTAATCATGGATTTAAAAAAGAACAGGGATAATACATACTTCATCATATTAGACGAAATTTTATCATGTGCAAATTGACAGAATATATTGAAAATATCTGATATATAAATCAGAAATTGTCACATCTTTTGTGAACACATGACACCTAGACTTTTTTTGAAGTTCCACTTTGAAAAAAATTCTTTCATGACAAAAACATTTTCTTTTGAAAATCTCAAAATTGTATAGCGGTCCAATATTTCCATTTGAAATTCAATATGATCATATGATCCTAGTAGTAATGGTAACTTAGTTTATAAAAAAAAGAATCGTTACAATTCATTGTAAAACAAATTAACATTTTATTTTTCTTTTCACATTAGTACCTATAATACAATAACTTTAAATAATACCAGTGGTTTCAATATCTAACAATAAATTTCATTAATCTGTGCGGTCTCTGACTCCAACCACTAAGAAAGCGGCGGGACCGATACATACAAAAAGAGCTGCCAAAATCTCCTACGATATTATGGCATATTAAACCCCTTTTTTCTGAAATTTACTGTATCAAGCAAATCACGGCAAAGTCCGATCAACAGAATTGCAAAGCAGAAACTCTCCAATCAATAGAATGGCAGGCTTATTTCTTTCAGGCTGTTGGTAGTACATACGCTTTAAGGAAGGTACTTATTGATTGATAAAATACAAGCATTTTGTATCTCAAATTCAAATCAGGACATTTTCCACTTCAAAATGAACATTTTTTGTTCACTCAAATCCATATATACACGTATGAAGAGTTTGTTTCGAAAAAAAAAAATGTTCTTACATAAAACGTAATGGTATTGTATCATACGAACAGAATGTAATTTTGTTGTCTTCAGTCTTATATTCCTCTGGGACCAAGTGAACATTCTTTTCAAGGAAAGAGGAATGTTTTGGTTTCAGCTCCCAAGGTTTTATGTATTCCAAGTAATCGAGTTATTTACAGTTAGACAATGAGCCTACGAAAAACAGAGTTACACAATAGAATTCAAGTGCACCAAAATACATCAAGTTATCATGCAAAGTTGACAAGCATCCAGAAACTAGATCACAATTAGTGAGGACTGAGTCTTGAAATGTAATCAATGCAAATATATTGTTCACAAGTCATGCAAATAAATACAAAATGTCATAGGCTTCTTCTATTTCTCTTTTTTACATAAAATTATCATACTATTCATCTTCATAGACAGACCAGTAGGAACTGGTAAGGGGGGGGGGGGGGTCTGCTGCTTTGACAGTATACATACTATACTATAGAAACCAAAGCTCATTCACGGTTGTAACCATAATATCCATGCATTCGATAAAAAGGTATATCAAAAGCATTAGATATTCATTTAATAATTAGGCACATTATTGAAATATAAGGCATTCATACTTTTTTAACATAAAATTATATTCTTACTAGAAGACAAAGTTATTCAGGACCCAATAAATTCAAACAACCACAACATTTGCTTATAGAGTCTCTGACAAAAATTTGAAAAACTTGTAATGGTTTGGGCCGTGAATATTGGCTTGGATAGCTCAGTTGGTAGAGCACCTGACTGGAGATACAGGGTCCTGCATTCGATTCCCGGTCCAGCCATGCATTTTCTCCTTTCCTTTTCATAGATTTGGTGCCACTGACCACCCCTGGAATTGCAGATGAAAGTCCTGCCAGGGGGTAACAAGAACTTGGGTTGTGTCTTCCACGGGAAATCCATCTAAGGAGGGAGGGATGTAATGGTTTGGGTCGTGGATATCGGCCTGGATAGCTCAGTTGGTAGAGCACCTGACTGGAGATGCAGGGGTCCTGGGTTCGATTCCCGGTCCAGCCATACATTCTCTCCCCTCCTGTTACAAACTTATCAAAAAAGTCTTTAATCACTTTAGCTTAAATTAAACCCAAACCTAATTTCCACATTTCAATCAAATGTTTTAGAAAATTCATCTTCAAAAACCTTTGAATTACTACAACAAAGTTGTTGGATTGAGAAATTTATCATTCAAATTTGACTACATATATATTGAAAAATTCTGATTTGTGGGTATTGACTGTGCATACCGACTGTGCATGAAGGTGCTCAAGGACAGACATAAGACAATAGTAAGCTAGAAGACAGCTTCAACAACCTTGTAGCTATAATGTTGACCTGCAGAGGACAGTGAGTAATTTGTAAAGGCAAAATACTGATACATTGCTTCTGAATGAAAATCAATAGTTACACCTCTTTTCCTTGTCTCCACTCCAAATAAACTTAGATGTCATTATAAGCAGGAAGATGAACAAGGTAAATTGGTAATAAATTTAAGATGTTACTCAATTAACAAAACATTAATTGACAGAAGTTTTCTCAAGAATAAGAACAGTTTTGTCTGCATTCAGTTTGTACATCAGCCCAATGTGTTTCCTCATACTTTTGCCGTGGTGGAATACCTGGCTTTATCACTTTAGAATTGAAACAATTACCATGCCAAACTAAAGGAACTGTGAGCCTTTAGATAACATAGGACATGCACAATACAGTACTTCTAAATAATAAAAAGTTAATAAATTTCATTCATAGGTTTAAGGGGGGTTGTGGAGGAGAAATGACTATCCTTAAGTGTAACAGATATACATATGGATAGAAAGGCAAACAGACAGTCACCCCTATATAGAAATGTATTACCTAGGAAGGATAAATGAAATTTAGGGTACAGGTATAGGAAAACAATGGACCATATAACCTGGTGCCAACTCCGGCCAGACTGATTTATTCCTTTTGACACATAATTAACCCTTAAAATTACAAAAAGCACTAAACACACAGTAAAAGTCATGCTCAATTTATGATAAGAACCCATGATTTATTGAAAATTAATCAATGAAAACACAAACTGACTGTGGAAGATATTGATTAAGTATTACAAGAAAGATTCTTTGGTCACAATTAGTGTAAAGCTAGGTAAAGCACAATTTGCTGGAATAGGGATACACCCATGCCACAGGATTTATGACCAGAAATAAAAACACACTTTCTTGACCAAAGTAGAAAGGGCTAGCCGCAGAGGTGACAAAATCTGCACTTGGTCCAGCAGAGTCAGATTGCTTCTGGCCGCAAGAAAACCTAATTGGATTGTGTGGGCTCCGTTGGCAGTGAAGTCAGCGACATTTTTCCTACCCTCTAGTGGAAGCAAATCGTATAAATATCACCTCCCGCTGACTGCAGACCTCTCTTAATGCCATAATTAGGTTAATACGAGCTTTCTGATATTCTCCGCGGAAAAGACACTGTACACATAATAAGTTTGTATACATGTTCGACAGACATTACTGGACAAATTTATTCTTTTAGCCGATCTCCCGATCAAGGGAGCTGTGGAAATTGTTCATTGTGCATTGATTTTGTAATGGATGAAAGCTGAGAATTACATGAAGCCAAACAAGTACCAGCACTTCCTAGACAGAACAGACCAAACAAGGGGCTCCTTTTTCATCGACAGCCCTCATAATACATATATATATGTAGTCAATAATGCTAGGAACACACTCCATAAAGAGTCCTATCAATAGAAGTCTTAAATAACACAATAAATTCATCTCATATATCGCCTTTTATGGCCTAGGATTTTGTCTCATTCATTCTCATGAATTGAACAGAATTATCGGTACTGCCTGTATTTTACTATTTTTCATATTTCAGGGAATAAATGGTTGGTCTCATTTGTATATAAATTTCAAAATATGCTTATTAATAAATACTTAAATAATCTGCTATGCTCAGAAAACTTTTATTCTATATCGCCAAGCTTCCAACGACGATTTTTCGATCGTCGGCGACTATCGCTGAATCACTAATATTATGTCTTTAAAAATACTGTAAAAATTGGAATATAATTCATACATGTTAACCATACATGTTAACTCTACCGATTTAGGCGGGAGGCTACCGCTTTTCACTCCATCTCCCGCCTACCGATTTATTTAAGAAATCTACCGCTTTTCTACAAAAGTTGCCTCTAAAGTATTTTTGGTTCGCTTGGGTATCCATTTTTGAAGCCACTCTCATAAAATCTCGTTAGATATCGCGTGATTTGACTCTGATGCATACAAACGCTTTTTTTTGTATCGATGTGTACATAGATTTCAAGCACGAATTTGACAATGACAACAGCACAAGATTACCAGTGATTACATTGGTTACGATAAATTTAGTCAAAATCACTGCCATGAAAAGGAGATACAGCTTTTAATAAGTAGATGAAAACGTTTGGCATTTCTATAAAAGCACAGAAGCTCACAATTTTATCAATAAAGTCAATAGAAATCACTCGATTGACCAAGCCATGTGGCACATCTCTACTTTCGTTTTCGATCATCGCGGGAAATCTGATTTCTATAACGAAAGATAGGAACTTGTTTTAGATATAGTTTAAACCATGTCATCATTTGTTTTGTTTAACAACTGAATGAACATTCAGAATTACTGCTTCTAGGCTATATTGGCAAAGATCACTCTTCAAAATGCTAAGTTAAACAGCCAATCCAAGCAAATTGATGAGCATGAAAAATATTTGAATTTGTACAATTTATGTCAAACTTAAGGTGTTTCTGTCTTCTTCTTTACAGTTGATATTTAAGATATAATTATTGAAGGTTTCATTTAAGGCTAAATACATGAAATATGTCGGTAATCCAAGCGTAAAACAACGCACGCGCAATACTACCGCTTTTGAGGTCTGAATCTCCCTATTTTTCATCACAATAGGTTAACATGTATGTGTTAACTCTACCGATTTAGGCGGGAGGCTACCGCTTTTTCACTCCATCTCCCGCCTACCGATTTATTTAAGAAATCTACCGCTTTTCTACAAAAGTTGCCTCTAAAGTATTTTTGGTTCGCTTGGGTATCCATTTTTGAAGCCACTCTCATAAAATCTCGTTAGATATCGCGTGATTTGACTCTGATGCATACAAACGTTTTTTTTTGTATCGATGTGTACATAGATTTCAAGCACGAATTTGACACCCCAATGACAACAGCACAAGATTACCAGTGATTACATTGGTTACGATAAATTTAGTCAAAATCACTGCCATGAAAAGGAGATACAGCTTTTAATAAGTAGATGAAAACGTTTGGCATTTCTATAAAAGCACAGAAGCTCACAATTTTATCAATAAAGTCAATAGAAATCACTCGATTGACCAAGCCATGTGGCACATCTCTACTTTCGTTTTCGATCATCGCGGGAAATCTGATTTCTATAACGAAAGATAGGAACTTGTTTTAGATATAGTTTAAACCATGTTATCATTTGTTTTGTTTAACAACTGAATGAACATTCAGAATTACTGCTTCTAGGCTATATTGGCAAAGATCACTCTTCAAAATGCTAAGTTAAACAGCCAATCCAAGCAAATTGATGAGCATGAAAAATATTTGAATTTGTACAATTTATGTCAAACTTAAGGTGTTTCTGTCTTCTTCTTTACAGTTGATATTTAAGATTAATTATTGAAGGTTTCATTTAAGGCTAAATACATGAAATATGTCGGTAATCCAAGCGTAAAACAACGCACGCGCAATACTACCGCTTTTGAGGTCTGAATCTCCCTATTTTTCATCACAATAGGTTAACATGTATGAATATATGTTATATCTAAAAAGTGTTATTTTTGAACTACACCTAGTACAAATTTCTCTTATTTTTCAACAGCTTGCCTTTGGTATTGCCATGATGTTGCCACTTCACAATGATGTAAAATTTGGGTTGCTGTGTGTTGCTTGTGTACCAGGAGGTGGCTTGGGACATGTTGCTGTAATTCTTGGTGATGCAGACCTTCCATTAAGCTTAGCCATGAATCTCATCAGCATTGTGGCAATGTTAGGTAAATAAAGTTCTCCAAGTAAAATAGTCACAAGGCATAGGTCATACAAGTATTGCACAGTTACTTAGCAAAGGTTGAGAAATGAACTTTGAGTTGATATGTAGCAAAAGACAGTGCAATAAGTGCATGCAGAACTATACAAAAGGTTAAGAGGTCAGGGTAGTTTGAGACAATTGTACAAAAATTAAATCAAAGCCATTCTATACTGTAATTATAAAAGTGTTAAATGTCTTCAGAAGAAAATATAGCTCTGGAATAATAGATTCAGAAAAATGAACAATGTCTTAGTATGGTAAATTTCACATTACCTTTCCTAAAACCATTGAAGCACATTTTGTCATCTTAGCAATACAGAAACTCTCAGACTGAATTTTACTCAAATTATCAAGGGTTTTAGCTTCTTCATTACTGTGTAGTATGTGGGTGATAGCCTTTAATTCACCCAAAATAGACACCACATCATTGTTGAATGAGACCGACACCTACCCACCTCCCTCCCCCAAAAATAATCAAAACCTAAAAATATACAGAGCGCTGTTTTATACACTCTAAACATAACAAGATTTAGAATACCATGATACAATTAACAAGAGAATGGTGACTTGATATAATTGAAAACACCGATATAGTAACAGGGACAATTAATCAATTCTGGTTTCCATAATCATCAATTTAATTCCTTGATGTTGGATTCGGAGCGCAGTATGACATCAGATATTCCGTTCTGCACACACACTCCATCACGGTAACAAGACTACAGACAACTTTATACATAATTATAGACCTCAGTGTCCACTAAGTCAACTTTGCTTGAGGGATGGAAAAAATCACTTTCCTCATTGTGTGGGGTTCTATTGTTTGCTGGAACATTTAGGACCAAAAAGTGCATGGTACTTGCTATACTATTGACTTTTTAATGACTTTTTTGGGGGGGTTTGTAATTACACCACCATATAAAAATATGTCTGCTAATTGACCCAAAATGTCATGATGTTCACACATTTTCAGAGGGACTCTTCTGAACTGAATTCTTTTGCTACACAATGGCTCTAATATTGAGGTCTATAGAACTGCATTAAAATAAGAATTTTTTTGCTCTTTTCTTAACACTGTGTCATAAACTGTGACATCATGTTAATAATGAGCAGCTGAGTCTCATGTCATATAGCTTAGAAGTTGTGATATTAAAAACATTGTAAACAAGGATTTCCCAATACATAAACTAGCTTTTAGAGAAAATAATAGGCAGTTTTATTCTCTTTTTGGGAATCAGAATTGTTTATTTATTTATTGTATATTAAACAAACCAAGGAGTATTTTTTATAACACTCCTGTGAAGGGAAAATTTCAGGTTATGTATACAATGTACTGTACTTCACTGTATAATAAATACTATATAATACTAGTAATAAACTGGGTTTTTTTTTTTCATGTATTAGTTCAAGTTCAAATCATAGGGAGTATTCATTACAATGACTGTACAGAGAGGGAGTATTCCTTATTTGTTTCACAATAATCAAAATAGCCAATAAATTTATCAGCAAATTATTTCTGAATTAACAAAATGTGATATTGTCTGCTATGTTGGGCATAAGTCCAATTCATTTTTATTCCATCTAGTAACCAGAATTTATTGGACAGTAACCCTGTGACCACACGGACTCTGAAATCTAGACCTCCAAATCAATAGTTGTACTTCCTCCCAGGCAAATAATGTCCCTGCTTCATGCAATTTTTACATTCGTTCAGAGATTATAAATATGAAACTAATATTCACTTCTAACAGGCTAATTAAAACAGATTTCACCCGTGCAAGACTTTTGTGATTGGTAGAATTGGATAATCAATGAAAATGAACATAACTAGATAACTGCAATTGAGATCTAGCTATTATGTTGGTTGGTCTTTTTGCAAATAATATTACCTTTGTTCAGAGCTGGAACTATATATCAGTATGTTTTTGCACTAGTTCAATATATTTAAACAGAGAAAAAACAGTTCCATATGATGCAGAATTTCCTAAAATACTTCACTTCATCTTTCTAGTCTGGTTTCGAATTGCACATTGTAACATAGCCTTGGATCCACTAACCCATCAATTAAATTAAGTAATTTAAATAAATTAATTCATATTTCAAAACAATGAAATGGACTTCTAAGCCCTACAACTCAGAAACCAACACTTTTCTATCATTAATAAGTTGTATTTTCTTTATTTCCAGGCACAGCCCCTCTGTGGATCTTCGTTCTTGGGCAATACTTCTACCGAGACCACAGAGTCATTCCGATATACAACTTTGAAATCTGGTTGGCTTCAACATTTTTTGCGTATACAGCTGGACTTGTGATTAACCGGTTTAAGCCAACCGTGGCAGATGCATTACTAACTTGGATTATTAAACCATTGATGCTTCTGGCATCCATACTTTATATAACACTTGGTGTGTATATCAACATGTACGTTTTTGAACGTATTAATGAATATGCAGTGTTATCGGCTTTCCTTCTACCTCTATGTGGCTTTACGGTAGCCTATATCACAGGAAAAATATTCCGACAAAAGGATGCCTTTTGCAAATCCATGGCATTAGAAACTTCCAGTTTGAACGTTTTAATTGTGTTAGCAGCAATTCGATTTTCCCTAGCATCAAATAAGAACAGTGCAGATTACGCCTCTGTGGTCCCTCTCTGGGTGATGTTTACAATTCCAGGAATATATGTGTTACTAGCAATATTAAGATTTTTCAAAGGTTGTATAGCCAACTTTTTAGAAAGTAGAAAACAGCAACAATTTCGACATTTTAGTATTGCCTCAGGCATTGTCAATCAAGCCAATATGGCTGCTCTTTCGGCTCCACTATTTGTGACAGAAGTTACAGATGATGACCAAGGGTCAGTTAGTGAAAAAATCACCGTGTTATAGCAAAACCACAAGGATATATAGCTTGTTAGTTTATTCTTAAAACTTTGCATTTTCTAGGGAAAATTTGTTCAGCATACAAATTAGCCAATTTTACTATTCACTATTTTCTCTCGTTTCCAAGTGAAAACAACGATTTTGAATGTCTCTCCTAGCTCGATCTGCACTTTGTATACACGTATTTATGAACCTGGGGCATTTTAGTTTCTTGTACTACTTTTTGTTATCCATGTTATATTAATAGATTAAAAGAATATGATTTAACAAAACCTTGCTTCTAGTAGAAGTGTGATGAATTGGTACCTTATAAGTGGAATTTTTAGTGAAGCTATGCCAAAGTATGGCTATCGAACTTAAGAAATATGTCATTACCTAGCTAAGCTATAGGCTTAAACTCACAACCCTATGTCAGTCCAACATGCTAATGATTTCACTATGCCTAAGCTGCTTATGCAAAATATTTTTAAAACTATTTTAAATGTAGTTTTAATCATTTGACACAAAACAATAACTGAAAAAGAGTTATGATATGGATGTACTATGATGAAATAGACTCAAAGTGCAAGTGCACTTGCCTTCAGCTCGTGCTTCATGTGTCAAACCCTGACTACAATTTCAGCTAACTACATTTACTATTATATAGAAATAACACAATGATGATAAGTTAAACTATAGAAAACTGACAAAACTGACACAATCAGAGAAAGCCCTGTGGAGAACTCTTACAAGAAAGTGACAATTAATTTTAAACAGAAACAAGAGGCCCATGGGCCACATCGCTCACCTGAGCACTGTGGCTAGGAAAAAGTAGAAATTGGTTTATTATTTAATAATTTAAATCCAAAAGTAGTCCCAATACCAATCCTGGCTTTGCTATTCTTGATAAGATGATTTTTAAAGAATTTTCCTGTATATGTCTATGAAAAACTTTGGTCGGCCATTGTGGCCCCGCCCTACCCCCGGGGTCATGATTTGAACAAACTTGAATCTACACTACCTGAGGATGCTTCCATATAAATATGACCAATTATGGCTTTGTGATTCTTGAGAAGAAGATTTTTAAAGAATTTTCCTATATATTTCTATGTAAAACTTTGGTCGGCCATTGTCGCCCCACCCTACCACTGGGGGTCATGATTTGAACAAACTTGAATCTACACTACCTGAGGATGCTTCCATATAAATATGATCAATTATAGCTTTGTTATTCTTGAGAAGAAGATTTTTAAAGAATTTTCCTATATATTTCTATGTAAAACTTTGGTCGGCCATTGTGGCCCCGCCCTACCCCCAGGGGTCATGATTTGAACAAAATTGAATCTACACTACCTGAGGATGCTTTTATATAAATATGATCAATTATGGCTTTGTGATTCTTGAGAAGAAGATTTTTAAAGAATTTTCCTATATATTTCTATGTTAAACTTTGGTCGGCCATTGTGGCCCCGCCCTACCCCCTGGGTCATGATTTGAACAAACTTGAATCTACACTACCTGAGGATGCTTCCATATAAATATGACCAATTATGGCTTTGTGATTCTTGAGAAGATGATTTTTAAAGAATTTTCCTATATATTTCTATGTAAAACTTTGGTCGGCAATTGTGGCCCCGCCCTACCCCCGGGGGTCATGATTTGAACAAACTTGAATCTACACTACCTGAGGATGTTTTCCCATAAGTTTCATCTTTCTTGGCTCAGTGGTTCTTGAGAAGAAGATCTTTAAAACATACCATCAAATTTTCATTAATTCCAAATTATCTCCCCTTGAATGAGGGCCTGGCCCTTCATTTGAACAAACTTGAATCCCCTTCACCCAAGGATGCTTTGTGGCAAGTTTGGTTGAAATTGGCCCAGCGGTTCTTGAGAAGAAGTCGAAAATGTGAAAAGTTTACAACGACGACGACGACAACGACGAAGACGACAGACAACGGACAAATTGTGATCAGAAAAGCTCACTTGAGCCTTTGGCTCAGGTGAGCTAAAAAATCACATGGATATCAAAATGCTTTGACCAAAACATTAAATGAAATCAATCTCTTGCAATTCCTTTTATATAAATAAAAATTTGAAATTGTCATGACTAAAACCATTAGATTTATTATGTCATACCGTAAATCTAGAAATTTCTATGTCAATATTATTTTGTGAATCTGGGTCAAAAGGCTGTTGATTAATATTTGCAATTAAAATTTTGAGAATTGTCATGATGATGATCAATCGATTAGCTTGCATTATAATTTTATGCATAAACGCCTTGGGCATTTATACATTTATATTTACATCCACTGAATACTTTCTCCTTTATTTCTTAAGAAAACCATTGCATTAATCACTGCATGAACTACTTTAGGCATGTCGCCTTACAGATTTCTTGATCAGTGGCTGTTCCATCAGTGAAACGTATAAAGACGTTCACATCATTAATACAATAATTACTCTTTTTAATCCTACTTTAAATGATTATTTTATTAGATATAAATATAAACAATAAAATGTCTTTCTTTGTTTGTTATTACTGGAATGAACAGTCGCAGCTATTGCAGAAAAAAATTTACATAACCCGCATAAGCGGGTTATGTATTTTTACTGCAACAGCTGCTTCCATTAATTCCAGTAATAACAAACAAAGAAAGCATTTTATTGTTTAAATCACGCAAGCCACTTGATTGACCATATCATGCAATTAAAAAAATTAGACAGTTATTCCTTAAATATTTCCATGATTGAAAAATTGAAAATGAAAACTGAGTTATATAAAAGTCCCATGTTGTTGGACAGACCAATGTGGAAAGCACAGAAAGATGGACCTCCAAATATCCTTCCTTTATTTTGAACTTCTGCATTAAATTAGATATTATGATGAACACTGTTCAAGTTATCATTTCATATTTGAGATATATTCTGGAATTCATACAAACAAACAGACAGACAAAGCAATTTGCACACTGTAGATCACAAATTTTTCGTGACACCTTTTTTTTTGTGAGATAGTCATGGACTCTTTACTAGCGAGACATAATTTTCACGAATTCTTGTTTTTCCTCTATGTAATCGTAAGGAATACTTTTGTTTTAAACGTGAGAATGAAATTTTCGCTGGCTCATTCTCTCACTTAATTACACGAAAATAAAGTTCTTTGAATAAAAAGTGATTTACAGTAATTCATTTCAAAATTAGCTTGTTAGCATTGATAAAAAATATGTTGAATGGATAAGTAATTGTTATAACTCTGCCCCATTTTATGCAGGGCCCTATTTATAATTTTTTAAATTAAAAATTTAATTAGGTTTGACAGTAGTTTTATTGTCTTGACAATATATTTTTTGCACATCTTAGTCAAAAACCTTTGCCTATATGCTGTTAAATCACTGTGTACTTAGTTAAAAAAATGTTCCCTTGCCATTTATTCCTCTAAAAGCAAGGATTAACTTCCTTCAAGAATACTATTTAGTATACCATAAATCGGCTTTTTATCCTTTTTCAAGAAGCATTCACACAGCAAAGAATGACAAAATATTGCTTTTAAGAAGTGTGTAAGTGGTCTACCACAATTTCTGAAAGACAATTCAGACTGAAATTTCAGATACAGCAGAAATGTAGAGATGGTGTTTCCCAATTTCAGAAATTATTGCAAATCTCAAATCTAATTGATACTTTTTTGCCATCTTAACTTTAAGTTGACATCTTTTTGATAAATGCAATATGTATCACAAAGACTAAAAAATTTATGCTACACTGGTATGTACTGATTGCAAGATGGAGCTAACCAAAATGAAAGTTTTAACATTAAAGTAAATCATATAATATAGGAAAAATTATCAAATATCAAACACATTTTTCAGGGAAGGTGAATAATAGCACCATTTATCCATTTTCTGCATGAATATGCAAGATACATCTATTCTAGGAAAATTTTATAGATGTCCATTAAAAAAAAATGTGCGTTTTCATTACCGTATAATCCCTATTTATTGCCCCTACCCCTATAAACGCCCCCTATATAGGTGAAAGTCTTTTTCAATTGTCAAGGTATAAGGATCCCTGTAAAGTGAATTATTAAATCATCTCCTTGTCTATTCTCTAAATTCTTGATGGAAAAATGAATCATAAAGTTAGCATAATTTTGGTGGATTATCTTAACTTAAAGGAAAGTTAGACAATCTTTCAGTGGTTTTCTTGATTAATTTTTTTTTCAAAAGATTTCTTGAGGTTAAAATATGACATTAAATGTTGTAATGAGAATACCAAAATAACCACTCCTTTTTGCAATTTCCTAAGCACCTGGGACAGTTAATAGGGATTATACAGTACTTGTGCAGTATAATTTTATTTTTTCTTAAATTCTTCAGTTGTTATGAATTAACATACCGGTAATGTAAAACATGTGACATAATTGCAAGCTACCATAGTATTATTTTCAATTTCAAGTTGATAAACACTGGTATGTTTTAAAAGAAATGATAGTAATTTTAAGAGTTATTGTTCCTCACAGGCTGAGGAGTGGATATCCTTAATATAAATCTAATTTCTTGAAGGTTCCTTACAAAGAGACAGACAAACATGAGTAAAGAGTGGAGACGAGAGACTCTTCTTCAAATCAGTGGTGGATATAAAACTCTTCCTGTGCTCCAAGGCAGCTAGGAACTAGCCTATAATTAGCTTCACATACACAGGCAGTTCATTCAGCTCGTGGAATATGAATATGATTCAACTGCTATCTGAAATTGATTTTGTGTCAATTTCATTTAGCTCTGTCATAGCATGATATTAATAGAATATAAATCACAGAGACAATTGTAAAAGATCCATCTACTGACAATTGTACTAGGAACAATTGTGTTTCTCCAATTGAGTAAATAACATGCAAGTTTGAAAGCTCCATTGAATAATGTTTAATACTGGCAAGATTTTCCCCATATCTTTCAAGCTATTTTCTGATTTTCTTTCAAGAAAAAGAATTTGGAAAATTTAGTACTAGAGGACTGTTCTATTGGTAGCTGTATAAAAAATATAGTTGAAAAAATTCCTCATCATTTGCTAAATTCTCTTTTACCATAATGTTTTGATGAGACAAACAGTAGAAGTAGGCACAAAATTGTAGACATCATTGCTATAGTTTTTGGGGAACAAAGACAGGTACCCTTTTTATAGTTATTTTTAATGGGTGGGAGGTTCCCATAAGTTACACAGCTGCATGCTCATTCCTCACTGTGAAATGCTGAGACTGGTTCTTTGGATGGAACCATATAAACCAAGGTCCTTTGTT